AAAAAAAGAGAAATAAAAATCTATGCTCTAAAATTTTCTCATATGAATATTTTTATTCAACGCATCTACGCTTAATCCGCTTGATCCGCATAATCCACTCATCGACTTCGCTATTGGTCAAATCAGTGACCTGACCAATAGCGAAGCGGATGTCCGCTTGATCCACGCTATTGGCTAGTTCCTTGATTCAACAAATAGTGAAATGAAGATGGTGGATCGAGTGGACCAAGTGGACTAATTGGGGCCGTAACAATTTTGTTCGTATCATCTTATATGCTTTTTCCCCTACTACATATCTGATATCAGTATAATTTAGCAAATTTTTCCCAGTCAAATCAGTGCTATACTCAGAGCATCAATTGTGAGATTTTCACCTCGATCAAATCATCTTCATGTTATCAGTTCACATACCCCTCTGTTAAAAAAAGAAAGTAAAATTTTCACCTCAAATCACTGGTTTGGCAATATGTCGTCTGGCAATATGGTTATCTTTTTACCCAGATATCCATCAATTTATGCTTTTACCATCAACAAGCTGCTTACTATGAAAAGTTTTTCCATAGTTCTCCTACATCATTCTATAAACCTTTTTATGATGAATTTCAAATCAATCTAATGTCAATTATAAAAAAAGTGATATAGATATCAAACGCATTCATAAATTGAAGAAATAGTATAGATGTTATTGTTTCAAATCATAATCCTTTCCGAATCGAAGACTATAATCCACTTTTTTATATTCTCAAAAACATTTACAAAATCTCATAAGAAAAGCGCGTTGTAATGCAGTGAAATGACAAGAATGCAGTACAAAGTACGTAGCTGAACGTTTGCATTCCATTCTGTCTATGCGAATTCTTTTAGGACGACTACAATCGCTTCGAAACCGCAAGACATAAAGAAGCAATGCGAAACGAACGTCAGAAATCGGAAGAGAGTCGCTTTCAAGCTTATGGAGACCGACCAGGTAGTGGAGTGGAGTTGTCCACGCATCACTGGGAAGGTGGAGAAGTGAGTGTTTTTGGAGATTTAGTGAAGCTATAGCCATGTAGATTTTCCGCCAACATAGTGTACTTGCGGTGCCGAGAAAATGCGGTTGAAACTGCGCGTGAAAAATAGCTAAGCTTTGACGCCGGCCACTTGCGCGCGCAAAATGCCGGCATTACAGGCGTGGCTATTTGTCCACGGGCAAATTTTACCGCATTTTCTCGGCACAGCAGGCACACTGTACTAAGCAGAAAATCTACTCACTGAGTACGAACGAAAGAAAACCTTTATCAATACTATGCAAAAAATAAACAAAAAATTCCAGATCATTACGGACCCCAGCCAGCTGCCCAGATCTCTAAAACCTCGCCGGTTATACTATTCCCCGATTGGAGATGGAACTGTAGCTGCTGACGGTATCGAGTTAAAAAGGTACTTAGATATTATCATCC